GTTTGATGTTTTATCCATTCAAAAAAAAAAAAACACCACACACACTGTTAAAGATCAATTATATACATTTATGTGTATATATTGTCTACTTGAACCTTGTTTATTAATAAGACTTATTATAATGGTGAAGTTTCTGATTAGTAAAGAGAGGAGATCTTAGTCAAAAATCAGGTAAAAATTAAAATATTTTGTTTTGATGTTTGATCAAGATCTCCTCTCTTTGCTAATCAGAAACTTCTCCAGTATAATAAGTCCTATTAATAAACAAGGTCCAAGTAGACAATATATATACAGAAATGTAAAACAATAAAGACAAAGAGGCAAAAAGAATCAATTATATACTTTTGTCAAACTGATAAAATACTTCATGGACACCCTACATACATGTTCTACTTTGTAATGAACAAAGAATTATTTTCTTTTGCATACTGAGAGAAATGTATATCAAATCCTTTCTCTTTTGAAGAAAGACTACAGTATAGAAACTTGCAAAAAAGTTTCAAATTAAAAAATTTCAAATTTTTAAAATTAAATTGAATTCCTCTTCACATTTAAATTAAAAAGATTTAACTGTATAAAAATAAATATATTTTAAGTAGTTATAAATTCACTTTCATTATTACATTAAATAAAATTTTCCAATTTACAAAATATTCATAATCATAATCTAAATACAATAGAAGTTTGTTAATCTAGCAACTACAGGATCAGAATGGTGCTATATTATTGAAAATGCCAGATTACAGTACATTTCTGTATTTTCATAAAATAAGTTATATGTAATTTGAATATTGCACTATATATTTTGTTCCAGTTTATACAGATGTATGTTTCCAATTTATTTATGCACACTCATTAGTAGTCTAAAGTTGATACAATCATTAACCATACCAAGTTAAGATTGAAAGAAATCAGCAAAAATGTTAATTAATATGTTATTGTACAAAATTGACAATCATACTGATTTATATACATATGATTCACAAAGCAATCAAAGCAACGTATGCTCAGAACATAGTTGCATTGTGATTAAGTGTCCAAACAAATTCTGATTAATGAAATACTAGCAAGACAGACTGTTACTGAACAACTCCAAATTATCAGCTACTTTTCAGAGAATGCCAAATTAACAAATTTTACTGTAAAACTCAGAAGAAACATGAATGTTTGCAAGTAATTTACAGTAATTTCATTAAATGATGAGGCTTTCAAACTAATAATATATCAAAGAAAATATATTTCCAATTAAAGTTAAGCATTTTTATTATTATTTATGAAAATGAAGACGTAAAATTTTTATTAGTGTCATTGGTGGTTTATTAATGATTAATGGAGGTTTAATGCATCAAGACAGTTTAGCATGCCACTGTTAATAACAGTAGGCTGTGTTATAATTAGTTATGCTAGTTGATGAATTCTTTCTTTGCCAGTTCATTAATGTCAGTCAAAACGTATTAGTATTGTTATAATGATACAGCTGTATAACTGTTATAACTGCTGATGATCTCGCGCCTCGCCCACGGGCTGGCCACGTTGAATTTCCACGTGTCTAGCATCAAAATAGGATCCCGCTTCCCATAGAAAGTTTCGCAGGAGGCATCCCTCTTGGCATGTATCGCAATTACCTTAATAGGGTCCAGTTCTCCATAGAGAGTTATCTCTTCTCATTTGCAGATCGCCCATGGTTACGTTGTCTTATTCTATCAACCAACCGATTATGTTTATATGTATTTNTCTAAATAATTTATCAAAATATATAGATCTTAAACTCATCAAAAAGGAATCAAACTTTTTAAAAAATTACAATGCACTGTTTACTGCTTTATGTGCCTTTGTATATCTGAGCTATATTGAGAGCATTACACCTTTGAAAAATTAATTTAATCATAAAAAATATGATAAATGAGCAATAATTTATTGTGACATTGTCACAATGCCAGGCTGAAATTTTTAATCATATTTTTAATTTATTTATATTTCCTTCAGCAGAACGAAATTAGAACTCTCTTTTTGATGAAAAAAGTAGGTTTATTTTCTATAAATTAAAAGGATGAACTAAGCATTTCAGGCTTAATGCCGTCTTCAGTCCTATTTTATTAAATCAGTAAAAAATTATGTAAAATTTATAGAATGTATTAGAATATACAGTAGATCCCCCTATAAAACTGTTTCCTATAGTTATGATTCCTATAAAAATTGTGGCATTATCCGTAAACAACGGTAAAAATAACTCCTATAATACGTAAAACGTCATCGGGCAGCCGAACTACTTACCCGCCGTCCGTAGCGCCACGCTACGGAGAGATTTCTATCGTCTGGACAGTATTATATAAATTATATATAAATTAGGTACTGTACATATAATTATATATTAATTATATATAAATTAGGTACTGTATATATAATTATATATTAACTTAATTTATTGTAACTTTATTATAATTAAATATATATTTTTCGCCGTCTAGCGTCACGCTACGGCGAGTTAGGCGACCTATCGTCTGTTTAGTACTGTAATTTTATACATTTCTTGTGAAAGAAACATTTC